GGGGGGGGGGGGGGGGGTGGTAGCTCTTTTCCGCATGTACTGTCAGACTGGTGCGAGCTCCCGGAGGATTGACTGTCAGCTTGCCCTATCGCTTTTCCTCTCAGAATCTGTAGAGATTCTGTCAAATGATTCGTATGAAGTGAGAAAAGAGGAGAGTCATCTATACTATTGAGATTAGGATCTCAGTTTTTCATCATTGGGTCGCCCTTTTCAGAATAAAACTTAGAGCAATCCAATAGACAAATAATACATGTGTGTGACTTTGGGACTTTGGATATATATATATATCTAGGGTTCAGCCTCCTGATGAGTCGGCGAAACTCCGACGAAACAGTTTGTCACAGCCCCTCGTTTGTTGTCCTCTTCTCTCTCTCTGCCTACGGTTTTACCGGGCAGTTCTGTTTGTGACGATATATATATATATATATAGGGGGCTGACGCCTGCCCAGTGCCGGAAGGGAAACTGCATTACGTGCTATTAGAAATAGTAGGGTAATCCTTAGCTTTATAAGAGACGTTACTCCTATACCTCATAATGGTTGTAGAGAGAGAGAGAGAGAGAGAGAGAGAGAGAGAGAGAGAGAGAGAGAGAGAGAGAGAGAGAGAGAGAGAGAGAGAGAGCTGAGGGCGGTGTGGCCGGTCAACATAACTTGACCTGTTGTTAATCGAATCGGTGAAATTGAATATGTGGATGGCGTTTGTGTCCGGTTTATTTTAAGTTTAGCGATTCTGTTTTCTACTCTTTCTCGGTGACGATGATAATGTTCTTCGAATCGTTGAAGATTCGTTGCTGTTTACTATTCTGTTTGTGACCGTGTATGACCTTGCTGTTTGTGACTATTGCTGTTTACTATTCTGCTNTCTTCGAATCGTTGAAGATTCGTTGCTGTTTACTATTCTGTTTGTGACCGTGTATGACCTTGCTGTTTGTGACTATTGCTGTTTACTATTCTGCTGTCCACAAACACTTAGAAAGTGTTACACACTGTCTCACACAGGCCCGGTTAGGCCCGACAGATAGGGGTTCGGAGGCCGGTCCAGGCCCAAGGCCAGACCTTTAGACCGGAGGCGCCACTGTAGGCCCACCGGTTGGCCTTTAGGCCACAATTTAGGACCAGACCAGATGGGCAGGCCCAAACGACATTACCGTTGGGCCTGGCGGCGCTCTTGAGGCTGCCCCCCTCCGGTCTGATCTGAACCGTCACTTTTGACGATTCAGATCACGGCTCGGCCTCGCAGCATAGAGGCCGGCCTTCCACACCGGTACTTAGGTACCAGGAGGCGGCCTTCTGGGGATCCTGGAGCAGCAGCATTTCGGAGGAGCGCTTGGCTATTTCTGTTTAGAGCGCAGCGCTACAGCAGCAGCGCGAGGTTAGCGCTGGACTGCAGTTAGGGATAGAGAGCGAGCGAGGTACCTACCTGGTACTTACCTGTGACGCCATAGCTTCAGAGGACTTGGACTGCAGAAGTTTTCTATCCAAGGCGCCACCTTGCATCCTGCAGGTAAGGCTTCGGGCCAGGACAGGGTAGTGAGGACTCTCCTCCTCCCTACCTCACCATCTCTCCCTCCTCCTCTGCTATCTCCTCTTCCTCTCCTTCTTCTTCTTCTGCTTCAGACTCTTCTTCTTCTTCTTCTTCTTCAGACTCTTCTTCTTCTTCTTCTTCTTCAGACTCTTCTTGTTCTTCTTCTTCTTCTTCAGACTCTTCTTCTTCTTCTTCTTCTTCTTCTTCTTCTTCTTCAGACTCATTCTTCATCTTCTTCTTACTCAGATTGGAGACTTAGCTACGAGTCGGACAGAGATCAGTGTTGGGACTTCGGTGGTAAGAGGCTGTGATACTTACCGGATTCGAGACTTGGAGATTGTTGGGATTGATACTCGGCGGCATCACAGATTGGACACCGGTTACGTTAGGACTCTGTATCTCCGACATTGGTGACTTATTGTCCGCGACCTTCTGATCTTGTTCGATGACATTTTGGACTACCATATCGGTGACCTACTGGACTCTATCTCGGTGACATCTGGCGCTGCCCTTACCTCCCACCTCCATCGTCTCTCCTCCCACCTTTCATCTGTGTATGGTTGTACGGGGCCTCAGCACTCGTCTATGATTGGCTCAGACCCCACCATCTCACGATTGTTTGTGTGTTGAGTGATATCTGTATGAGTTCAGTCTATGTGAGTCAGTCCATTTCTCAGACTTCCGCTGGATACATGCTCATCCTTTATTGGTTGATCTTTGGTTCTGCCCATACTTGTTGAAGTATTCACGAGTATGCAACAGAAAGACAGAAGACGCCAAGAGCTAAAACAGTGATACAGAAAGCACCAGCCATACACTAACAAAGAAAACATAGAGTCAGAGACAGAAAGAGCGAAGTGAGATTCTTCATTGGGGTTGCTTCCTGACTTTTTTCGCGGGCGGAGCTGTGCTGGCTGCACCTTCTTGTATATATATATCTGTTTGATGGCGATATATATATATATATATATATGTATATGTATATATATATCTTCTCTCTCTCTGCCTACGGTTTTACCGGGCAGTTCTGTTTGTGACGATATATATTGTCACAAAGTTATCAGAGCGCAGAAGCGAAAAAAAAACAACAACGAAAAAAATAAATAAATATATATGTATTTTCGAATATGATTTCTTAGTTGAACTTTTTTCTTTTGTTCATTTATTTTTGACACCTGTGAAGTTTCTTTGGGATTTGAGTGTGGGTAATTCACCTGGGAAGTGCCGAGAAAGAGGTGGTTGTGTATGTGCAGTGCAGCTGATGACAATTTCTAAGTTGTGATATCCAAGTGTGGTCACCTGCTTGTTGATTGTTGTAGAGGTGATGTGAACGCTGGACCCGGTTTCCAGCAGGTGACCCTCCCCACCAATAGATGGAGCATTTTTCAAAAAARAAAAAAAAAAAAGAAAAAAAAGAAATGTAGAGGCGATGTGAAGTGTTTTTAACTTTTTATGGTGTTGATATTTGTGCAAGGCAAATGAGCAATAGCGAAATCACAGAAGTCCAGAATGCAAAATCACATTGAAAGCCAGAAAGTTCAACGCTGTCCAGAAAGCAGAAATGCACTGATATTACACCAACGGAGAACCAAAGCACCGAATCCGAGCGTACTCTCGCCACCACCAACATATGTATCCAGAGCCCCTCCTCCTACTTGGCGCTCAGCGCCCAGACTACGATCACACAGCTACTACCAGCCTACGAATTGACAATGCAACCTATTGATGTCAGCAGCAACAACCGAAGTACATGAAGATGTCGACCATGTAGACCATCGCCAATACCAGGTACGTGCCCTCACATAATCACATCATCATCTCCATCTCTCTCTCTCTCTCTCTCTCTCTCTCTCTCTCTCTCTCTCTCTCTCTCTCTCTCTCTCTCTCTCCCCCTTGTCTTGTCTATAATCAGCATCCTTCCCATACAGCAACATCACCACCACCTCCACTGGCTATCCAAGCCAAGCCTTGGCTATGTAGGGCTGGCTATGGGCAGCGCCCTGTATTCTTCCAGCGCCCGCGTGCTCTGCCTAGCACCTAGCGCTAGTGCACAGCGCACAGCCCGGAAGCGCGCGCTCAAGCAGCGCTGCCGCATGCACTGCCTAGTGCCTGAATGAGCCCATCAGTGGCGAGCTCTTTCCTTTATGGAAAGTGCTCGCCCAGTTTGCTGTCTGGCTGGGCCTCTTGTGTTTCCAGTAGCTTCCGATTGGGCCAAAGTGTCTGCGCCCAGGTCCACTCAGACAGTGGCCTGGGACCGAATTGGTTAGGCCTGCCCAACCACCTAGGAGTAAACGTGAGGTTCTCCCTGCTTCGCCTGTGCTGCTGGAGGAGGCTAGAAGGCTCACGAAGGATTTCTGATTCTCTTGAGTACGGAGGATGTAACCAACTGGTGTGTGGCAACTGTCTAGCGTCCACCAAACTTTGCCAAAATTGGCGAACTCAGGCCATATTGAAATTCAGGGGCCCGCGTTCACTTAGGGCGGGCTCATGCTTGCTGAAAGGCCCTACGGGGGCATGCCAAGGAGCTAACTCGTAACAAGGCCTCTTCGAAGATCCATGCCCACGTAGGGGTTGCGACACGCTCTGCTTGGCCTGGTCTCATAGGCCTATGCGCAGGCATTGACACAAATGTGTAGGCCTGCCTTCACTTAGGGCGGGCACGGCCTTTCAGAACTCTGCCGAGGAACGAAATCCTCGCATTTGCTCTCAACTTCTCGTCACGACTGGCAATGCTGTTCAAAGAACTGTGATGCGTGGATGATAGTCACAGAAGCAATTTGAAGCAGGAAGTCGGTACTGAAGCAGGCACTGGCCATCAGAAAAAGAAGACTCCACCAAGTTCACCAACCAAGTGAAATGGAAGAGCAGTCAATGTACCAACTTGCCTAGGCCAGTTGGTGGTACAGCCAGTTGGTACACACATGAACTGTTGAAATACAGACCTGAGTTCGAATCCAGATGCAACCCGATGAACAGAATACAATAATTCTGCATGACCCTGGCGCCGATCAGTGCAATGATGATATCTCAAGACCGCCGCCCTTTTGAAAAGGAGGAGGATGAGGAGGAGTCTATGTGGAAGTGGGTGCATTGCTGGCAACAAATGAAATAGTGACAACCAGAACAGCAGGACATGTAGTGTAAGGGATTCAAGTCCCTGGTCATGTTTGAAACAGTGCGTGCTTTCGGATGGTGTGGACTGGTGGTGTAAAAGTCATCGAAAGATGGAAGTAATGGCTAGAAAGTGGAAAGCTTTAGAAGCTAGCATTATTTTTTTTTTTCTTTCCTTTTTTTGAAAAGAAAGGAAGCCATTAACGATTGTGTATGTTGTCATGATTGGACAGGCCGATTGTATGCATTGGAGAGAGGGATGGAGATTCCCAACCGTAATGCAGAGATCAAGGGCTTTCTTACTTCCGTATTGAATCAACTGGAAAAGGTAGATGGCAAGTACAAGTTTGTGTAAATGGACATGGGATGTCATGCAGAGAATGATGCTCGTTGAACTTTGTTCACTTTTCATTTTCGTGGTTTTCTAGTTATGTTTTTTTTTTGTTGAACTTTGTTCACTTTTCATTTTCCTGGTTTTTTAGTTATGTTTTTTTTTTTTTTTTTTGCGTTTTTTGTTAGGCTACTAGCCGGGATGCTCGGGTCTGTTTTCCCAGGCGGCCTGGCCATGCAAGGACCAGGGAAGGTCCCCCCCCCCCCCCCCCCCCCGAAAAAAACGTAAAAAAAAACCTACGTTATGCAGAAAACTAAACTGACCAACTTTTGCCTCAGGGTCACGTCGAAATTATTTACCAAATTAAAAAATAAAATAAAATTATTATATGTTATTTATTTATTTATTTTTTGGCCCGACCGGCCAAGTGGTCCCGGGCCACTCTGGTAGTCTAGCTTCTTCTTCTTCTTCTTCTTCTTCTTCTTCTTCTTCTTCTTCTTCTTCTTCCTCCTCCTCTCCTCCTCCTCTTCCTCCTCCTTCTTCCTCCTCAGGCAGAGGTTATGTCGGGCTAAGCACATTAGTACATGGCGGCAGTTACCTGCAGGTGGAGGACAACATCTTCTTCTTCTTCCTGTTCTCGCCCTCCGTCTCTTCTTCTTCTTCTTCTTCTTCTTCTTCTTCTTTCAGAGAGAGAGAGATAGATTACAGGCAGAGGTTATGTCGGGCTACGAGGCCCAGAATCTGATTCGACGTTTTTGCAGCAGGTATTGATTGGACATTCGGCAGGGAGACTATTTTTGGTCTTCTCCCTCATCCCCATCTTCGTCCTGCCCTTCCTCCCTTACCTCATCCGTGGTATCTCCCCATGTGCGTGTCAGAGGAGGGACCTTTCTTCTATGCATGTGGTCCCTCCTTCTCTCTCACATGTGTGGTGTGTGATGGGTTGAGTCGCCTCAGTATCTGACATGTCAGGTCATATCTTTGAGTCTTCTGCTGCGCTACATTGTGCTATTTTTGTATGTATATGGATGTACATTGCTTGGTGATGCTTCACTGATGCTGCATTGTCTGTTCGAGTCGTTATCATCACTTTGCGGATCCTTTGGCTCCATATACATCGCTTGATCGAGCATGTATCACCCAAGGACTCCCACAGTTCCTCAATCGCTGGAGATGAAGCTGTTTGCCTTGGGAACTCAATCTTTGACTCTGTGAGGGCAACTCCCCTGTTGCCATATCTTCCTTATATTTTATTGCAGCAACAACCCCCCCCCCCCCCCCTTGACTATCAGTTCTGCTGTACGCCTCTGCCGCCACAACTCACTCCTTGTGGGGTAAACTTCTCCTTCGTCTTGTCGTTATGGAAGCAAGTGACCCCTTTTTCTTTGGGAGAAGAGTAGCTTGTTCTTTCTTAGTGTACCGACTTTTCCTGTTTTGCAGCTAGCACTGGATAGCTGTAAGTTTGTAACCCTGCTTCCATAGCAAGTGCTTTCTGGGATAAGGAGGCAAAAACATCGATGCGTGGGGCGACCTCTCTAGCAATTTCAGGCCATGTTAGCACCCACCTGGGGTTGAGTATACTCCATACCTATGTACATTGTAATAGGGGTAGTAAGGTAGCGTGCACCGTATCAAAAGCTCGTACAACCGAGGGGATTCTTGGAATAATACTATTGATACTAAAAAATGTTTAATGATTTAAAATACACATATGTTTACTATTTAGAGTCGGGCATTGGTTTCGTGTTAGTGATTCTTTCATCGTTATGATTTTTAATGAGAAGGGAAGGAGATTTGGACGGGACGAGGAGGTGTGACAAGACGATTTTTAATAATAAGGGAAGGAGATCTGAACGGGCTGATGAGGTGGCAAGACAAGACGACATCCGTGTGAACTTCTTCTTCTTCTTCAACTTCTTCTTCTTCTTCTTCTTATTCTTCTTTCCTCAATTCTTTCGTTCTTTGTATTCAACCTCCTCTCAAAGTCGAATTTTGCGTAATGAATGAGCAATGAACTTCTTCTTCTTCTTCTTCTTCTTCTTCTTCTTCTTCTTCTTCTTCTTCTTCCCTCAATTCTTTCACTCTTTTTATTCAACCTCGTCCTCTCAAAGTCGAATTTTGCATAATGAATGAGTAAGGATCATAGATGCATAACACATACAATGCAAAAAATTGAGTCGTGTGCTTTTAACTGTGCAGTGCACCAAAATTGATCCAAACCTGGAAATGTCAGTTTCTGATGTTTCAATACTGAACAAATCCCATTTCACATGATTGCAGGAAATTGTCCAAGCCAGATGTTTCACGAAATAATTGCGCACCTGGCATTTTTGCAAGTTTTTGTTTTTTTTTTTGAAAATGTTTTTGGGTTGGAACTTGGATTGTTGTGTTACTATAATTACATTAAAAAAAAAATTCGAAATTTTTAACTCCTTGAATTGTTTGCTCATGTAAGTCAACAATGGCCCAAGGATAACAACTTTTTGCTTGTTGGAGTTGACGGTTTGAATTTGAATTTCTTTTGCTTTTATAAGGTGGCAATTATTTATCGTTAACAATTAATTGCCAACAACCCTTGTGCAATCATTTCTTGGCGGTGTTCCCAGGTCCAGCGATACTGCTTTGCATTGTCTCTCTCTCTCTCGTTCTGATATCTGAAACTCTGAATCTTGTTTTCCATTGTGTGGTCTTGTGCTCCTCCATCTCTGCATACAATGCTCGCTTAGGACAAGAAGTCGATACAGCTGGGCGATGAAGATGCGATGGAGTTAGAAGGGTTTGCGCTGGCCGTGTTTCAGAAGGCGGATAAGATTGACCGAGCAGGGAGGGCAGATAAGTGAGTATGAATGTGCAGCCCCGTCATTCCAATCCTTGTGCTAACGACTCAACTTTCTGTACTTGCTGTCATGTAAACTCTTTATGAACAGCGACTGTTCTGTGAGCTATCAGCAAAATCTATAGACAGTTGGTAGACAGTAAATAGTAAGAAGCCTATTAAAAATGGCTGTATCCTGGTATACATAGTATGTATATGTTGGGAATGGATTGTCGATAGTCTAAGCCTGTACATCTGTAGAATCTGTGTAGGGACTGGTTTGTTGATAGTCTAAGCCTGTACATCTGTGGAATCTGTGTAGCCAGTTTGTGCCTGTGCCCTGGTATGTCCACCTGCAACTGAGAGTAAGGCGGATTATCACTAACAGTATCATCTTTGACGGGACTTTTCAGGCTTTCGGCCTCCTGACAATCGACAGAAGTCTGGCAAAACAGCCTGTTGAAACGGTTTTCACCTTTGCAGAGGCAGATGCAGATCCCAGGGTTCGATCCCCAGACCAGACCTTACCCATGTACAGTACCGAGTTGACCCCTGAGTGTTTGAACCCGTGACCTGTGTATTCGCAAACAGTTGGTAGGCTGTTTTAGGTCCGTAGGTTGTAGGGGATTCGATCTGTAGACCTGTCGGATAGGAGTCTTAGTGAGTTCTAGAAGTCGTAGCTCCTCTGAAGGGTCAAGGTCGTAGCTGCTACAGTACTGAAAGGCCAAGTCCACGGTCTTCCGGAAGGTCCGGAAGTGGCCTTTCGAGTTTCCCCTCACGTTTTATACAGAAGGCCAGAGGCAAGTGGGCAAGTGGTGCGTCCAACTTCGCTTAGTCAGCGGTACCCAGTCCCAGTCTCACTTTGCACAGTCATCAAGTACCAAGGGGGACTGTGTGCACCATGGGCCCGGTGGAAAGAGGCAGACCAACGAGTTATAGAAGTATAAATCAAGAGGCGGCGCACAGCCATTCATTCATTCCTGCGGAAGCCATGCAGAAGTGCTGCCACGGTGACTTGTGCGAGGTGGTCTGCAGAGGAGCCTGAAGTCGAAGTGGGCTAGAGGGAGTTAGCGTAGCCATAGCTGCTTGTAGAGTAGAGTTAGCTGGCGGCCATAGCTGCCATAGTTAGTAGTAGGTGTGCATTCGTGTGTGTGCATTCGTGTGTGCGTGGGGTATCCAGGGTGATCCGGAGTTGAAGTGTGAAGTGAACAGTGGTGTTGGACACAGTGACGAGGATGTGTGGGTGCTGATGCACCATAGCCTGTTGAAGCGAGCTTGCATCTGAACTGTGTCTTGGTTTCCATATCTTCGAGCTTTGAGTTGGGCGCTAGGCGCCAGTGTGATTCACCATCTGTTTGTATACATGTGAAGTGACGAAGTATGCGGGTCTGATTGCACTGTCAGAGCCCCCTGTTTCTTGTTCTTTTCTCCCGTTATGCCGTATGGCTCACAGGGCAGGTACTCTGAGCCTTAAGAACTACCCTGTTGTAGATTCGGCTGTACCCTGGTATGTGTAATAACTGTGTATACAGTATACGACTGTACCCTGGTGTATATAATACCTGAACATCTGCACTTGGTTTAAAAAACTCTGTATCCTGGTTTCTACTACTTTCTAGACATTTCATGAATAGTCTGTGGAGAGGTTTTGTTTAAGTGAGAATGGGGAGAGGAGGATGTGGAAGTGTGAGCAAGGACTCAACCAGGCCCTTCTTGTGTATAGGGTAGTGTTAAGTGTCTGGGAAATGTCTATGATAGTCAGTAGCACATACTTGCAAAGTGTGCACAAGTGCATACTCTGCAAGTGCATGAAAGTGTGCGCTTTGGAGATGGACGTGTGTAACTGTGAACGAGTCCTCAAGTAGGCGCGTGTGTATAGGCAAGCGTTAACTGTCTAGGAAATGTCTATGATTATCAATAGTTTATACTTGCAAAGCGTGCACAAGTGCACACTTTGCAGGTGCACGCAAGTGTGCGTTTTGCAGACGGGTGTGAGGAAACTTTGCCGTCAACCAAATGAATGCCGGGACACATGTCTGTACTGGTAGCTCAGCCATTTTGCAAGCTCTACATGCAACACAGACAAAATGTGGCATGTTGGTCTTGCTAGCTTTTATGCTGATGGAATGGTTTCATGAAAGAATAGCAAGTGTTAGTGCCGCGTGCCTAGAAGTATCAGATAGGCATGGTGCAGAATCCAAGGATCACCATGAAGGAACAACAATAATACAATTCAGCGGAAGACTGAAATGCACAGATCTGAATCCTCGAGACTCAGGACTGACTGCATACATCCATCATCACTTGCGTACAGGATGGACATGGCGGCTCGGACAAGGAAGATCGACGCCATGTCCGCAATACGTCCACAGAGGAAGGAGGTGAAGGAAGAGAGGAAGAGGGCAGAAGAAGGGGGAGACTGCACTCGATCGCTCTGCGAAAGGAGTCTCCAACACTAGTCCCCAAAGTCTTTGTCCAGCATACAATGTCTGAGTCTGGGCAATCGCCCGAATGGTCTCCAAGTCTCAGCTCTCTCTCTCTCTCTCTCTCTCTCTCTCTCTCTCTCTCTCTCTCTCTCTCTCTGAAGAAGGAAACAGCCGAAGGAGAGGAAGAAGAAGAAGAGATGGATATGGAGGATCGAATCAACAGAAGAGATGACGATGAGGACTCTCTCTCTCTCTCTCTCTCTCTCTCTCTCTCTCTCTCTCTCTCTCTCTCTCTCTCTTAGCCATGTACTACCAGCGTAAAGACGTCGTCCTGAAGACGATCTCTAGGGATGGCACCCACGATGAGTCTTGCAGGTAAGTGTACTTACTCCTGGCCTCCGCCCTGATCCTCATAACTCCTCTACTTCTAGCCTAGTGCAGCTAGAACTGTAATGCTGCTCCAGCGGCGTTGTCGCCTAACTCTACAAATGCTGCATGCCTTGAATGAGGGTGGAGCTGTATATAGCACTGGGCCTAATGGATCCTGCTCCGGTCTGCATCCTGGGCCGTCCGATGGTTATGCCGATCAATGGTCCAGGATGCCCAAATTCTGGTCCTGATTCCTGGCCTGCCTGGGTCGCAAGCGGACATCCAGGCTCCTCTGCTGAACCAGCAGAGGTGTCCTCACAAGAGGACGAAACATGGTTCAGCCCCAAACGAAGCGTGCCAGGCCTGAAAAACGGGCGCTGGGCCTGAAACGACACATCTGGTCCAGAGGACTACCCGGTCTGGACAAAATACTGAAATGGCACATCCAGACCGGACAAACCTGAAGCAGACAAATGAACTCAGAACAGACTGAGAACAACAATGAAAATAAAGAATGCCGACAAAACCCAAAAATTAAAAGAACACCCCCGAAATCACACCCCACAACCCCTGAACCAATGGCGAGCCCTGAAGGGGCCCGTGTGGGAGCCGTGCATGCCACAGTTAGTGACATTTGGCAAACACACAACACATGGATGTGGACAGCGCAGACGCATGCATGCACACATGGATGTGCGGACACATACATGGCCACAACAAGCTGTGGATTTGTTATGTACCCAATTGAACTTCAATCCACAACGAATTCACACGTTCCCATACACGCATGCAATTGCAGAGTAGTCTCGGAAGGAGGCAAATCCACACAAAACCGGAGAGGAGATATGCACAGCGGAAGCTCGAAATACACAGGGAATTGAAAAACGATTTTCAATTCTGTAATCCCCCGTCCTCCTCCAATCAATCCAAAGTACTTGTTCCAAGAATCACAACCGCGTTTACAACAACCGCGAACAATCAAAACAAGTGTTCAACGAAGTCTGCACGAGTCTTCTTCTTCCTCCTCGCCACCTCATACCCCTGGCTTTGGCTGCCGTAGCAGCAGTAACCCCACAGCTGTCACAACCTGCCAGTCTGAACCAGCAACCCCAATAATAGCAGTGCCAGCTCAGCGTCGGCACGGCAGTGCAACGCTGGAAGTCCCAATGAAGAAGGAGACAACCAATCCAATACTTTGAAGAAGACAAAAACGAAGTTCCTCTTGAGGGGGAACAGAAAATATGGCAGCCAAGTGTAAAAGGCAGCGCCCGAACCAAAACAACACAATCCTGGTGAAGCTCTTGCGCAGAGCTGCTGATAGCAGCAGTGCTATCTCCAACTTCGTGTCCCAGCCCTAGCTATGCTGGGCTTCAAGGAAGGAGATGTCCTCGCCCAAAATAACGCAGCAACGCTTCGGCCATGAACGGGCAGCGTTCTCCCAGCAATAGTGTCGAAAAAAAGACCCAACCCAAATTTCCTGCCCGCTACTTCTACCCTCTGCCTAGACCTACGACGGACTGACGAAGCAACAACCCAAGACTCACCTGTATCTAGATGGAAACAGGGGAAAAGGGGACCTAGACCTATCACAAAGGAAAATGCATCGGCCGAATGGTCTAAGACTACCAACAGGGACTACTAGTAGCCGACTCAGGGATCAAGTCCCACACAGCTCAACACTCACAAACAAGACACACAGATCACAGGTCGCGCGATCAAGTCCTGCAAGGCTCAAAACAGGCAAACAGCAAACAAACAAGCAACACAACAGGCAAAGGTTGCGGGATCAAGTCCTGCCAACAACGACAGGGGCGAAATTACTGTACAGCCCGCTTGTAGCTTTTGCAATTCATTGCATTCCTACCCTCCCGGGGAGCGAGGACCCCGAGCTAGAAGTGTGCACGAGGAGGCCATCTGAGGAACTTTCCACTTTGTTTAGCCTCGTAAAACCGCACAATTGAATTGGCAGACTCGAGAAGTTCCTTTCTTGTAAACCAACGGTCCTGGGTATGAGGTTGGAAGAGGAACTTGACAAGATATTCACAGTCTGGGCCAGTGCCCCATTTGTCTTCAATGCTCTCGACTTCATATCCCTTTCCAGGGATAGAAGGTCCAAACTGCGGTGGCCGATCAGGAAATGCGTCAGCGGGAGTGAAAGGCAACAATTTTGAGGCATGGAAGACAGGATAGGTCCTGATATGTGGGGGTACAGCAAGTACATAAGAT